TCAGCTCAAGTGTCTATGTATCCACACACAGATTATCATTACTGTAATTGCATAATTTGTGTATATAACAATACTTATTTTGTTGTCTTTAACTCTTGTGCTTCCCCATCTTCTTCTGGCTTGGTCTTTTTGTGCTGAGCCCCCTCTTATTATATATTGCTTTTCCCTTCACCCAAGTTCCTGTGTCTTCCCTCTAGTTAGTAATTTACCTCTATTATCCCTTATTACCCTCCCACCTCTGATTACCTTCAAAGAATGTTTCTTTCTATGAGGAAATTTTTCCTGTTTTTTTATAGTAATAAAATATTTGTCTCATAAACATTTGTCCTTTTGTGATTGACTAATTTAATTCAGCAAAATGTCTTCCAAGTTCATCCATGTTATCATGTGTTTTGCATCTTCATCATTATTCTTTAATGTTGCGTAGCATTCCATTCTGTTACCATAGTTTGTTTATCCATTCATCTCTTCATGGGCACTTAGGTTGTTTCCATCTTTTTTGCTTTTGTGAATAATGTTGCAATGTACATAAGTGTGCATATATCTGCATCATGGTTCTTATTTCTCTAGGATATATACTTGGTAGTGGGATTGCTGGATCATATGGTATTTCTATTTCCAACTTTTTCAGGAAGCACCATACCATTTTCCACAGTGGTTGTACCATCTTACAGTCCCACCAGCAGTGTATGAGGGTTCCAGTCTCTCCACACCAGCATTTGTTGTTTTCTGTTGTTTTTCTTTTTAACTTTGCTATTAATGCTGGGGTGAAATGATATTTCATTGTTGTTTTGATTTTAATCTCTCTAATGGTTAATGATCATAAGCATTTCTTCATGTGTTTGTTGGCTACCTGAATGTTTTCTTTGGTGAAGTGTCTGTTCATGTCCTCTGTAGGGCAAATTTTCTTGCAATGCAGTGGCCATGAGATTACTTTATGGTCACTCTGCAACTATTGTTATTGTTGTTAGTTGCCATCAAGTAAATTACAGCTCATGCAACCCCATTTGTGCAGAGTAGAACTGCTCCATAGAGTTTTCAAGGCTGTTGCCTTTTAGGAAGTAGATTGCCTGATCTGTCTTCCAAGGTTCCCCTGGGTGATTTCAACCTTTAGGCCAGTAGTTTAGCATTTAACCATTCGTATCACCCAGGGATTCTTCACTTTGCAACTAGAGCCTTTAAATCCATTCTCCTTCAAATGAGGTTGTCTCACAACTTCCATCTCTGGATTTAACTTACACATTACCTAATACTCAAGGTAGGATTGAACTAATTTTACTTCTTGATTCAATTCTTAAGTTCTTCACATTGTCCCTGTCAGATAAAATACCTGTTAGAGGTTATTTTAATATCCAATCAAGCTTTGCTTATCTTTTTGTCTGTGTCTTAAGGAAAGTAGTCTTTTACATCACTGAAATGCTTTAGGTCACTGCATTGTAGGAATGGCCTAGGTAAAGCCTACATTTCACATGTTTCTGGATTAAGCAACATATTGTCTCCCTACCTTCTGGAACCTGCTCTTGAGGAGTATACCTTGGTGTGTGAAGGACTGCCCAAGGAAGACTTAGGCTGAGATGGCCTGGGCTGAGAGGACTTAGATTGGGAGCACTTAGGCTGAGTGGGTTTGGACTGCGGGGCATTAGAATAGGTAGGCTGTGGCTGAGTGGGTTTTATTTGAGTAGATTTGTATTGAGAAGACACAGTTTGGGAGACTTTAGGCTGGGGCTGCTTGGGCTGACTGGATGTGGACTGAAAGCTGGGTAGAAGTTTGCTGTCGGACATGGAATGGGGCTGTGTTTGAAAAGCTGGATTTGAAGGCCCACTCTTAGTCTTCTGGGGTCTATGCTGTGATGTAGGTCTAATGGACTTTTGTATGGTTCCTGCTGGTTGAAAGACTTGATGATGAGGATCTTTTATTTGGGATGTTGTGCTCCTAAGTGTTCCAGTTGCTGCAGGTAGCTGTGTTCCCTGAGCATAACCTGGCCCAGGTTGTGGCTTTCTAACTCCTCCTGCTGGCTGTGAGCCCAGGGAATGGAAATGACCTCCCTGAGAGACCACTGCCCCAGACTTTCCAAAAGCTCCCATTGATTTTGGTCTTTCAGTCCAGTGTCGTGCATGCTGAGAAATAGGTCTTGGATGTCTCCAATGACACCCCTGAGCAGTTCTTGAAAATGTCATGACTCTTTCACCTGAATAAAATCTCTGGGGTTGGAAATAGCGAACACCAAAACCCTTATTCCAACTATGGGCCCTTGTATTATGAAAAGCGAAAGGACGGACCCACTTACACATCTGCTCTGAGCAAATGTTGGAGCCCATAAACCTAGAAGCCTGGTTAAAATTACCCCCAATTCTGGGTCGTAAAGGTAAGGAGATCTGTGCAGGAGACATGAATACTGGGGTGGAGCAGCTATTCTGAGGATTCTGACTGACCTCACATGTAACCCCAGGCTCTCTCATAGGCATCAGAGCTGGGGTTTTGGACTGACTATGCCTTTGTTGTCCCTGACTTTTAGCTGTTCCAGACATGTCTTCACTATGGAAAACTTGAATTTCTTGAGTAGTCTCACAGTCTTGGTCTACCTGGATCCCCAACTCCCTGGCCAAGGAGGCCATGTCTTCCACAGACAGACATCTGAGTGAAGAGCACATTACTTCCCAGAGGGCAGCTTGAAGGTTCTCTATGTCCTTTCTTCTATCCCCAGATTCCTCCCCCTCTAAAAATAGTAGCTGTGATGGCTTCAATTCCAAGATCCTCTGAAAAATATGAGCATCTTCACTCTCTCTGGCCTGGGGACTGAGGACAAAGTAGCATTTTTCAATGGCAGTTTCTCCTAAAAACCTTAGCAGGTTCCATTCCTTCTCACCAAGGTAGTCAGTGAAAAAAAACACAGCTGAGGAAACTTCCATCAAAAAACCAAACTGTATCCAAAAATGTTCCAGGTCTCCACGAAGGTTAGCCACAGCAACAGGCCTTGGGAAAAAACTAGGGTTTTCCTTTAAACCATCGCCATCAGGAAAACACCAAGTGATCTCAACCAAGCCATCAGAGATTTGCCGGGGAAGGACCAAAACAGGTGAATCTTGATGAAGAAAGGTTTTGTGCGATTTTGTTTGAGCAAGGTTGAGCAGCGCATTCAGGATTCTGGACTTGGAGAAGCTACAGCACTGTAAACGAACAAAAGAGATGACAGGCATCTTGATGCGAACCAGAAAGTTTTCTGTATCCTCGGCAGAGCCTCCTGAGGACTGGGCTGACTGCTTCTTCACAATGTCCTTCATAGCCCCGAGCATTAAGATGCTTCTGTTGTTTTCTGCATCTGGCAGTAGCAGGGGAAGAGCAAACTGGCATTGATACATGTTTGACATGACTTCACATTGCAAAGAGCTGTCTGAACACAGCATGGTGGCACAAAGGACATCAAGAGGATTAATGGTCCGTATGTCTCTAAGTTCTAAATTCTCCATTTCAGTCAGCAATTCCCCTTTGCTGTCTTCACTCAGAACTCTGTGCCTGAGAATTGAATCTCTGGCTGTCACGTCCTGGTCTTGAACTTTCATCAGGAAATCCCAAGTTAAATCTCCAGGAGTCTCAGGTGTCCAGTTACATCCTCGGTCTAAGGAGAATTGTGTCACAAAATCTGGCAGAAGCTTTCTGCTCCTATCCATATTGAGACATGACAGGACCTCTTTAAACACTTTTTTTCTTTCTGTTGGAGAAAAGATATTCAGTGAATGTCATATCTGGAGTCTAAGCATTCCTCAAAGACTTAAAATTAAACAAGTAACTGACCTTCTCATTGCAAAAAGATTAAGCAATACAAATAAAGTGAAAGTCCCAGAACCTTCATCACCCTGCCAATCCCACTTTACTTCTAAGAAATACATCAGTGTGGCATGCTTCCTTCCCATCCTCTTCTACACAAATAGAATATACATGTATACATGTGTGGTAGTTAAGTTTGTGGGTCAACTTGGCTGGGCCTGCTTGAGTGGCTGGGCAGCTGAATGTAGTATTCCCCATGATGAGACTGGTAATTAATTTCCTGGTGGAATCTACTGTGAGCAGCTAAGTAGCTGCTTTAGGGATATGGTCTGCTTCCTGTATATAAGGAGAAGCCTTGGGGGATGGTCTCCAGCTTACAGCATATTTGAACCCTGAATGTAGCCAAGTCGTTGTTCAGTAGCCTGCAATGCTCAGCTGATCTTGGAACTTTTAATAGACTTGAATTAATGGCCTGCCATGTGGTTTGGTAATATCAGGACTGCGCCTTATTACTTGTTAACCTTAGGCTTGTCAGTCTCAGCAGCCAGTAGCTGTCAGAGAGAAAAAAAGCCTCCAGCTTCAGTGGGCCGGGAACAGGAGGCAGAGCTGAAGCCCAAGGTTGAGGGGTTTTCATCCAACCCCTAGAGCCCAGCACTTTGAACTTGGACTTAAAGTCTCTAAATTGTGAGAATAAACTGTTTGTTAAGGCCATCCCATTTGAGATATATTCTTGTCAGGGTGGCACTAGGTAACCAAAACAACATGTATATGTAGGAATATACAGTTTTGTTTAATGAATGTTATTTTATTTTTACATGAATACTATCATACAAAATAAGTGATTCTTCAACCTCCTTTCACTTAATGGTATTTCTAGCAAATTCTTCTATATTTATATATATAATTTTACTCATTGCATGTTTTTTCATATTTTGGATGGCCATTATTTATTTAACCATTGCCTACTGTTGATCATTTAGGTTGTTTTTTTTTTTTTTACTAATCTTTCTATAGAACAATGAAAAACATTGTCAATGTCTCATTGTTCACATGTGTCTCTAGGTTAATTCCGACTTCTTTCTGAAATGTACATGCTGCCTCTCCTTTCCCTTGATCTTTCCTTTTCCAATACATTTTCTAGCCACCTCTTGGCAATACAAAGGTAGTACTTATTGAAGAAAGAGGACGACAATGGATTCTGATTGATGGCAAACTAACAGGAGCTGCCTGGTTCCTCCTCTAAAAATGGCCTAGAAGAATCAATATAAGTGAAAGAACAGCATGACAGAGAAGTCAGTAAATCTAACTTTAAGTGATCTTTAAGTGATCTACTTAAAGGCAGATCAATAGAAGTGATCCAATCAATCTGAAGAATAGAGAGAAAAAGTTTTTAAGAACAAATGCACTGAGCCTCAGGAATCTATAGAAAAATAAAAAGTCTAGCATACGTGTAATTGGAGTTTCAGAAAGAGAAGTGAGAAGAAACGGGTAGAAAAAAATAGTTGGCTAAAATAACAGCTGAAATTTTTCCAAATTTGATTTTTAAAAATTACTGATTCAAGAAGGTCTGCAAACTCTAAAGAGGATAAAAACAAAGATGCCTTAATCAAACTGCTGAAGAAAATCTTGCCAACAACCTATGAAAAATGATGATACTTACAGGGGAAGAAAAATAAAATGACTGAAGACTTATCACCAGAAAAATGGAAGCCAATAGACAGAGGAATGGCATCCACAAGGTGCTGAAGGCAAAAGAAAATGTCATTTCAGGAAAAACATTCTTCTAGAATGAAGACACAATAAAGATACATTCAATAAACAAAATCTAAGAGGATTGACCAGCAGCAGACCTGCATTACAAGAAGTAATAAAGTTCTTCAGGCTAAAGATAAGCAAATGGAATCTTGGACATTCAGAAAGAAATGATAAATATATGGGTAAATATAAATAATAATACATATAGTTGGCTGAACACAAGTTGGCCTTCTGCAGCAGAGTAAATAAGACGTTTAAAGTCTTCCTGAGACTTTGATTGGACAATGTGATTATTTTTTGAGATGTAAGTTAACATGACAAAAAGCGCAAAGACCCTTCTTTTTTAAGTCAAATACATTTAGATTTCTTTTTTTCAGTTACCACCTGCATAGACAAATATCACTCAGAAAAGAGACAGAGGACAGCTATATGCTTCCAGTCAACCAGAGGGGATTAGTAGTCATCAGATTTAGACTACAGGGCATAACTAGTTTATTATTGAAACTTTCCTTAACCTCCTTTGCTGAAGTATTAGCAAAGGTATTTTTTTCCTCTTTTTTGGAGGATCAGAACAGGTAGAACAGGCTGGGAAACAGTGGGAGCCAGCATTTGGAGGACCGGAACACGTAGGGCAGGCCGGGAAGTGATGGCAGCCAGCTTTTGGAGGGTTGGAACAGGTAGGGCAGGCCAGGAAGCAGAGTGGAGCAATTTGGAAAAGCTAAGGAAAATGAAGTTGTCTGTCAGTTTGTCATCCTGGGTGGCTTGTGTGTTGCTGTGAGACTGGAGGCTATGGTACCAGTGTTTCAAATGCCAACAGGGTAATCCATGGTAGACAGGTTTCAACGGAGCTTCCAGACTAAGACAGACACAGAAGAAGGAAGAAGCCATCCACTTCTCAGAGAATTGGCCAGTGAAAACCTTATGAATAGCAGTGAAACTCTGTCTTGTATGTTACTGAAACACTTTATGATTAGCCCTGAAACATTATCTGATATAGTGCTGGAAGATGAGTTCCTCAGGCCAGAAGACACTCAAAATATGACTGAAAAAGAGCTGCTTCCTCAGAATAGTTGTTATTGTTATGTGCTGTCAAGCCGGACCCGACTCATAATGACCCCTCCTTGGGTTTCTGAGGCAGTATCACTACAGAAGTAGATTGCCCAACCTTCCTTCCGAGGAGTGGCTGGTGGGTTTTAACTGGCAGCCTTCTGGTTAGCAGTCAAGTGCCTCAGAATAGAGCTGACCTTAATGATATGGATAGAGTAAAGCTTCAGGACATCCATTTGCTGATGTGGTGTGATTCAAAACGAGGGGAAAAAAGCTGCAAACATCCATTAATAATCAGAACATGGAAAGTACAAAGTATGAATCTAGGAACATTTGAACTTGCCAAAAATGAAATTGAACACATGAAGATTGATATATGAGGAATTAGTGAGCTGTAATGGACTAGTTTTGGCAACTTGGAATCAGACAAACATATGATTTATATGCCAGGAATGATAAGCTGAAGAGGAATGGTGTGGCATTCATCATCACAAAGAATGTTTCAAGATCTATCCTGAAGCACAATGCTGTCAGTGAAAGGATAATATCCAATTGTCTGCAAGGAAGACTAGTTAATACGACTATTATTCAAATTTACACACCAACCAACAAAGCCAAATGAGGAAATTGAAGATTTTTACCAATCTCTGCAGTCTGAAATTGATCAAACAGGCAATCAAGATGTCTTGATTATCACTGATGACTGGAATGCAAAAGTTGGAAATAAAGAAGAATTACCAGTAGTTGGTATATATGGCCTTGGTGATAAAAATAACGCTGGAGATCACATGATAGAATTT